ATGTGAGCTTTTGGCAATTTATCATTTTAGGGAACATATCAAACATTTCACAATTCTGTGCACTGTAGTGTTCTCCAAAGCCACACTGGGACTAATACAAACAATGAATGATTTATTCATAGGCATGTAGTACTTGTATCAGATATATGGCCATTTAAATTCCATAAATTTGGTTGTTAATTTTTGAAGAATTAATTGTTTCAAGAGGAGCCGTATCTGGATTTAAAATGTTTCTGATCCTTTTGAGTATAGTCAGGAAGCAAAGTACTTGGGCAAGTAATACTTCAACAGACAACAATAATTTTTAGTACCAATTTATGGCCAGACCATGTTCTCTGCTCTGAAGAAGTTTAAAGTTCAGATGGAAAGGTAGACAAGTAAAAAAAGAGATTATAGAGTAGGATTGTAGGGTAAGATTCATGACTAGTATTAACCAACCACTCTCCAAAAAGATGGGGTGGACTGTGGGGATAGCAGATGGGAGGAAGGACATTTCAGAGAGAAGAAACAATAGGTTTGAATATTCTGAAAATCAACTTTATGTTGATTTAAAACGTACCCATTTTAAGTATACTATTTGATGAGTTTTGACAAACCACCACCACACAAAAAAAATATGGAACATTTCTAACAACCTAAAAAGTTCTTTTCCTCCATGCAATCAGTTCTTCTACCTGACTCCACTTCAAGTCCCCAAGATAACCACTGATCTGCTTTCTGTCACTATATATTTGATTTCATTTGTTTAGAGTTTCGTTAAAATGATGTTACATAGCATGTACTCTTTTTTGTCTCACTTCTTTTCCTCAGCATGATGTTTTTGAAGGTAATCAATGTTGTTGCACATATCATTAGTTTCCTTTTTATTGCTGAGTATTATTGCATTGTAAGGACATATCACACTTTATCCATTTACCAGTTGGGAAACATTTGGATTATCTCCAGTTTAGAGCTATGATTAATAAAACTGCTATAAACTATCACATTCAAATCTTGGTGTGGACATATGTTTTGATTTATTTTTGGTAAATATATACAGTGTAGTTGCTAGGTCAAATGGTAGTTGTATTTCTTAATTTTATTTAAAAAATAGCAGAACAAAATAAAAATAAAAATAAAAAATAGCAGAACAATGTTCAAAGTGCTTGTACTATTTTAGTTACTGTTTGCATAATATATATGTTTTTCATCTTTTAGTTTCAATATTTTTTGTGTCTTTGAATCTAAAGTGTGTCTCTTGTGGACTGTAGACAGTTGTATCTTTTTTTTAACCCAGTCTGCAGATCTTTGTCTTTTAATCAGAATGTTTAATCCATTTATATTTAATGTAATTACTGATAAGGTAGTATTTACACCTGATATTTTGCTATTTATTTTCTTTATGTCATATGTTGTTGCTTACTGTTGTTCTATTCCTTCATTACTGCTGCCTTTTCAGTTAAATACATATTTTCTAGTGTACCATTTGAATTCCCTTGTCATTCTTTTACTATATATCTTTTGATTATTTTCTTAGTAGTTGCTCCAGGAATTATAATTCCTGACTTATAACAATATAGTTCAGATTAATACCAACTTAATTTTAATAGTATACAAAAACTTTACTACTCTATAGCTTCATTCCCTCCCTTCTCCTTTGTGCTGTTGTTGTGATACAAATTACATCTTTATATATAATATGCCAACACAGAATTATTCTTATTGCTTTATGCAGTTGTCTTTTAGGTCAAATAGAAAAAAAATGAATTACAAATAAGAATATATTTATACTGTCTTTTATATTTACTTATGCAGTTATCTTCACAAGCATCCTCTATTTCTTCATGTGGATTTGCGTTATTGTCTAGTGTCCTTTTATTTAAACCTGAAGGACTCCCTTTAGTATCTCTTGTAGATTTCCTGTGATGAATTCTATTTTTGTTTAGACATATATTTTGGAAATATATTAATTTCTCCTTCATTTTTGAAGGATAGTTTCTCTGGATATAGAATTCTTGGTTGATGGTTTTTTCCTTCAGTATTTTGAATATGTCATGCCATTGCTTTCTGCTTCCATAGCCTTCGTTGTAAATCTTATTGAGAATTATGTGATGAGTGACTTCTCTCTTGACATTTTCAAGATTCTCTCCTTGCCTTTGGCTTTCAACAGATTGATTATAATGTGTCTAGGTATGGATTTCTTTGAGTTTATTCAATTTGGAATTTATTAATCTTCTTGGATGTGTAAATTGATGTTCATCAAATTTGGGAAGTTTTTGACTATTATTTCTTCAAATATTTCTGTTCTTTCTCTTTCTCGTCTCTTTCTGACTCCTATTATACATATGTTGGTACGCCTGATTGTGTTCCACAGACTTCCATGACTCTATTCATGTTTCTTTATTTTCTTTTCTATTTGTTCCCCAAACTTGATCATCTCAACTAATCTGTATTCGAATTTGCTGATTCTTTCTTCCATCTGCTCAAATCTGCCACTGAGCCCCTCTAATGAATTTTCACTTCAGTTATACTTTTCAACTCTAGAATTCTTGTTGTTTTTTGTAATTTCTATCTCTTTATTGATTTTATCTATTTGGTGAAACATTCTCCTCATTCTTTCCTCCAGTTCTTTAGACATGGTTTCCTTTAGCTCTATGAATATATTTAAAATATCTTATATAAAGTCTTTATGTAGTAAGTTCAACATATGGGCTTCCTCAGGTAGTTTCTATTAATTTTCCGCTATGTATGGGCCATACGTTGTTTTTTCTTTGCATGTATTGTACTTTAAAAAACTTTTTTTATTTTGAAAACTGGACATTTCAAATAATATAATGTGGCAATTCTGGAAATCAGATTCTGCTCCTTCCCCAGGGTTTTTGTTGTTTCTATTTGTTATAGTGGATGTTGGTTTTAGTGACTTTTTGAATGCATTCCTTAGGTCTATATTCTTTGTTGTGTGTGACCAGTGAAGTCTTTGCTTAGTTAGCTTAGCAGTCATCTGATGACTGGACAGAGATTTCCTTAAATCATTTTAGCCACGATTTTCCTAGTCTTTGCCTTGAGGGTCTTAGTATGTGCATTGGGACATGCCTTCAACACTCAGGCAGCGAGTTTACACCTCTGTATTAGTTTTTATTTCTTGCTCTTGTAGAGCCTCAGGGTCAGACAGAGGTGAGAGCTTGGGGCCTTCTCAGGTCTTTCCTGAGCATTCGCACAGGACTAGCTAGGTATGTAAATGTCCCTAAGCATGTGTATTACCTTCTAGACCCCCAGAAATGTCTCAGTTTTTCAAAGTTTCTATGGACATCTCATTCCCTAAATACTTTAGCGTGGCTGGAAGCAAGGATGTTCTAAACAAAGTTAAGAGATTTTCGACCTTTGTATTAATTGTTAGGGGGAATCACTGGTGAAATTTTTAGCAAAGAAGGGGCATGACTGGGCGCCTGGGTGGCTCAGTTGGTTAAGCGACTGCCTTTGGCTCAGGTCATGATCCTGGAGTCCCTGGATCAAGTCCCGCATCGGGCTCCCTGCTCGGCAGGGAGTCTGCTTCTCCCTTTGACTCTCCCTCCTCTCATGTGCTCTCTCTCTCACTCTCTCTCAAAATAAATAAATAAAATCTTAAAAAAAAAAAAAGAAGGGGCATGACTGTATTTGTGTAGCTGAAAAAAATCTTTGCTAATAAAGGAGAATGGATTTAAGGGGGACAAACTCGAGGCTGGGAGATTAAGATTATTGTAGCATTCTAGGAAAAAAGTGAGGAAGGCTTAAGTTAAGGTTGGAGAAGAGAGAATGGAGAAAGGTGAATGGTGGATTAGAAAAGCTCTTTTACAGATTAGACACTTAATGATTTATAGGGTGATTAATTGGGAGGTAGGTAGGAATAGATGAATAGGAGAGAATATGTCTACTCTCAGGTCTGATTAGGGAAACTAGCTGAAGGATGGGTTCATTCACCAAAAAAAAAAAGCAAACAGAAGAGGCACAAGTTGGGGTAGACACGTTAAGATGCTGATCCAAATACAGTATTACCTATGGTTAAAATAACTGATGTATTATTATATTTTTTTAGATAGAAATGGAGTATCTTTAAGAGGGAAATTCTTTGTAATTATGCCCACTCAAATAGCTTTGAATTCAGATGCTGTAATTCCTCCTTCCCCTCCATCCAGAAGATTCATCACCATTCTTGATTTAGGAATGCTTTAAAGATGCTTATTATTTGGAACATATTTGACAAAGTGAGAGGGACTTGGTGTAACTAAACAGAGCCTGTAACTAAATATGATATAAATTTTTTGATCATCAGTCATTTTTTTTTTAAAGATTTTGTTTATTTCTTTATCAGAGAACAAAGACGGGGAGCAGCAGAAGCAGGCCCCCTACTAAGCAAAGGGCCCGATGCGGGACTCGATCCCAGAACCCCAGGAGCTGAAGGCAAACACCTAACCCACTGAGCCATCCAGGCATCCCGATAATGTTATTTCTTGGGTGGTTTTGCTCTCTGAAAACCTAGCACAGAACAGATAATGGGCAAAACGTTCTTGCTGCTAATTATCTGGAGACACGTAATGATTTTTTTTAAGCCCTGTAAGTTAAATTGGGCTTAAAGTGGGTGGTTTTAACATTTGGGAAACGTTGGTTTTCCTTGAAATCCAATTCCTGGAAAGCGGAGAAGACAAGGAGGTGGGTAGACTGCGCTGTGGAAGAGAACCTCTGACCTATTTCCCCTCTTTTTACACCTCTTCCTTTTCTTTTCTGCTTCTCTGACGACCAAGTTGAGTTGAAACGAACCTTTCAGTTTTTGAGTTCAAGGACCGCGGTGAACACCTAAACGAACGGGGTTCTGGTTTCTCCAAGCCCGCAGTTGCATTTCCTAGCCCGTCACCTCCAGGGTCCGGTAAGCCGGCGTCCCAAATCTCGACTGCGGCCTGGATTCGCAGAGGAGGGGAGAAAAAGGTGGGGGGAGAAAAGAGAGGATGGAGGGGCGGGAGCGGCCCCGGCGCTAACTTCCGTCCGGCCCTCCCAGCCTAGACTGGAGAGCGGGGCGGCCCGCGCTCACCGTCTGGCGCTCTCCTCCCGGGACGCCCGCCGGACTCCCGAGCCGTCTCCAATTGGCCGTCGGGGGGAACGGAAGCCGAAGCGGAGCAGTGAACCCGGAAGTGCTTCGCGGCGGAGGCCCGGGCGACTCTTTTGAATGGAATCGGGCTGATTCATCGCCGGTTCGCGGAGCCAGAGCCCCGTGGAGTCTGAGCCGCCGCCGCCGCTGCTGCCGCCTCCGCCGTCTTCGCGTCACCGCTGGTGGGAGACGAGAGCCCAGACCGCGGCTTCCCGACCCCGCCGGCTTTCAGGTAAGACAGGGAAGGCAGGCCCCAGAGGTCCGCGGAGGCAGCCGCGCTAGGCCGCCGCCAACCCCGTGCTTTCCTGAGTCACGTTGCCCAGCCGAGTTGCCACTGGAGGCCTGGGCCCTGAGGGAGGAGCTCAGGCTTCTGCGTCCTCCTCGCGGGTTACTCGGGTCTCTTGTCAGTTAGGTGTGGAAGTGGTCTCCTCTTCCAGGCGTTTCTGCTTCCCTGAATGAAACACATCCTGGGAACCCTCTTCTCCCGATACAGGGAAAACCCTTGTGTGTGGCCTCCGTTTGTGTGTGTCTATTGATAGTTACTCCCGTGTTGAAAAACTTCAAAGCTGGCAGAGGAGACAAGGGAGACAGAATAAAATTAATTTTCCTATTGAAGGCATGCTTGTTTATCGTTTGTCCTTCTCATGGGCCTTGACCCTTTTTCTCTTAGTGTTAGGATTTCAATTCTCTTAAAAACCAAACAGAAACCCCAGAGATGCCCTGGTTTTTAACCTTGAAACTCTTCAAAACAAAGTGTGGTTTTTCTGCTGTGCCATTTAACTTACTTTCAGTTTGTCTTAATTGAGTAGTTGTGAATAGATAACATTTCCTGTTTTCAATAAAGTAGTTATCTGCTACTCTGTGTTACCTCTTGGACCTTATTTTTTCCTGGGGACTTACTTTGTGTCTGTCAAAAGAAGAAAAAATGTAAACTTTTCGGAAGAGTTTCAGTATAAATCTAGCGACCGAATGAAAAATTCTGGAAATTAAAAATGGTAACTAAAAGTTGATAAAGATTCATGGGAAAGGCAGGGAAGAAGCCTTAATAATTAGCATAGAAATGCAGTTTTAGGGTGAAAGTTATTTTTTTATTGCCCACAAAAGTATGTTTTTAGTGCTGCTAAGTTGTTTATTATGTGGAAAGCCAGAAGACAGTCACTGATAATGTTGAAAGAACAAAAAAGAACTGAATACAGTTTTAGTGGAGATGATTAAGACAATGGTGGTTTCCTTGTTTTGTCATGTAAGGCTAGCAACTGGCTCATTTAAAGTTTATAGGTTTTATTTATTTATTTATTTTTTAAATGTCATTTCCTTTTATTTTTTTATTTTTTTTAAAGATTTTTATTTATTTATTCATGAGAGACAGAGAAAGAGAGAGAGGCAGAGGGAGAAGCAGGCTCCCAAGGAGCAGGGAGCCCGATGCAGGACTCGATCCCAGGACTCTGGGATCATGACCTGAGCTGAAGGCAGGCGCTTAACCATCTGAGCCACCCAGGCGCCCTAAAGTTTATAGGTTTTAAACAAATTTAAATTTAATGAGTAACTGTACATTTGGAGAGATTAAGGTATAGTAGTTCAAAGTTAACTACAGTTGTGTTTAGTGAAGTGATATTTAGTGAAAGGCCTGAATATTGTCTTGAATTTGTCCCAGAACAAAATTACTTCTGGCCCACGGAAGAAGGTTTTGAAGTTATCTTTCAATGAAGCCTCACCTGTTGACTTTGGGGTATTATTCCCCCCCTCCCAAGGTGCTTGGTAAATAATATTTTGTTATTCTAATTGTAAAGCTGCATTTTAACCTCTCTGTCATGGGTTTATTTTATTTTTATGCTTGTCATGTAAACCTTGCATTTACTATGTAGGTTTAGAACCCATGTTTGAATATCAGGAACGAGAGGCAATTGTGTTTTTGTTTTTCATTTTATAGCAGTGTTCATTTCATAATTCAATGTCCACTTCTGAAAGTCTTACCTGAATATTCATGAGATTTATTACTCATGAACCTGTCACATACCCAGGTTGTTGCATTCATTTGCATTCATATCCTGCTTTGTGATATTTTGGCATCTCCATCTGTAAAATGAGAGATGGATTAAATAATAGCTTCTGGTTCTAAGATGATGATAACAATAACAGTAACAGCAGTTACTGAGTACCTTATAAATGTTCCAGGCACTGTGTTAGGTGCTTTGTATGTTATCTTACCACTGACTTGCAAGGTGGGTATTGTCCTCATTTTATAGATGAAATCTAGATTCTAGAAGAAGGTAACTTTTTCCAGATCATACAGAGAGTAGGTTTGCTTGTTTTTTAAAGACTGTATTTATTTGAGAGAGAGAGCGCGCAAACGGGGTGGGTGGGGTGCAGGGGGAGAGAGAGAAGCAGACTCCCCACTGAGTGAGGAACCCGATGGAGGGCTCGATCCCAGCACCCCAAGGTCATGACCTGAGCTGAAGTCAGACGCTTAACTGAGCGACCCAGGCACGCCTGGAGAGTAGGTTTTGAAGCTTGGATTCCGATTGAGGTCTGACTGCCTTCACAGCCTTTCTGGCTCTACACTGCTTCCTTTCACTTTATGTATTTTTCATGGGTTTATATCATGCCTCCCCAAGTAGACTATAAATTCTTTCAGTGAAAGTCACCGAGTTTCTTAGTGCCTCTATTTCTATATCACCTTATGAACGAGGTAGTACAGGTTTCTCCTACTGTCTGAAAGTTAGCTTTACCCCACTTCACTTTTACAGAAGGCCTGCATTATACCTGTTTTTTACTAACAGAAAGAAATTGGAAGAGGATTTTTGCTTTTACAAAATGTTATTTGTTTCTTTGATTTATGCCATTTCCACTTAGGAAAGTTGTTTTTTTTTAAGATTTTATTTGTTTATTTGACAGAAAGAGACACAGCGAGAGAGGGAACACAAGGAGGGGGAGTGGGAGAGGGAGAAGCAGGCTTCCCGCCGAGCAGGGAGCCCGATGCGGGGCTCGATCCCAGGACCCTGGGAACATGACCTGAGCGGAAGGCAGACGCTTAATGACTAAGCCACCCAGGCGCCCCTCCACTTAGGAAAGTTTTAATAGGAACACTCTGCTTTTGGATAGAGGGGGAACCTTGTACTTAATGTTTAATTGAATGCTGTAATTAGGAAACAGCACAAGAAAAGATATTGTGGTAGTTCCATCTTCACTGTTCTAAAGTGGAAAAATCTTGCTTTCAAAATCCTATTTATATAATTAAGTTTAATGTTGACTCTTTCTATTTCTTCTATTGAAGAAAGCCCTTAAGAAAGTCAAAGAAGTTCCTAATTACTTTCCACAAATCAGAAAGATGGGGAATTAGAAATACAATGAGATCTGGAGTAAAGAAAGGATTTAGCATCAGTCTGAGAAGTAATATGTAACTAAACTGCAGCATGGGTTGGGGAGTACAAAATGAACTAAGAAAAACAATGATAAACTCGAACAGCTAAGAGCTTCTTGATTTTGTTTGAATGTTATAAATTACTGGGACAACAGTGTCCCTTGTGAAAAGGTTGAAAAGTTAAAAAAAAAAAATTGCCACATTCCAAATCCAGATTAAGTTAATGTTGAAGTATCTGTTTTTTAGAGTTATTCTTGGTTCTGTACGTTTTCTGTAAATATTTGAGAATTGATTTATTTTAGTTCCAACATGAACACAATCTAACTGTATCAGGTTCTTATCAGATATGAACTCAGTAGGGAGATGAAAAAGTGGAAGATCATCAGTTTTTTGATGTACAACCTTTTGAAAGTACCAATGCTTATTTCGTACTCTTTACCAGTTAGGACTCTAAAGATTACTCTATGTATGATATGTTAGTTACAGCTAAACACTTCATTCATATTATCTGATAATTTCTTTAAAGATTTTATTTACTTGAGAGAGAGAGTGCGAGAGAGAGCACAAACGGGGAAGGGCAGAGGGAGAAGCATACTCTCTGCTGAGCAGGGAGCCCCATGTGAGACTCTGGGATCATGACCTGAGCCAAAGGCAGACACTTAACCTACTGAGCCACCCAGATGCCCCTATCTGATAATGTTTTAAGTAAAGTTAATCATTTCATGATAAGCTCTTGAGTCCTCTGTTTTTTGATAGGTGTAAAAGCTTGCTTTAGATCTATAGGTGTTATGTATGGCTTTTATTTCTAAGAATTGTCTTTCATATTATAGTGTAACACTTTAATTTTATTAACCCTTTTGCTAAATCCTGCAAAATGCAAGTCCCTCTTCTCCAGTATAATTCATTTAGTACTGTGAAATGTGCCTATTGTTTTGAAATTCACTAAGTGGCAAACTATGTAGGAAGAAGAATCTGTGTTGTATGAACTGTAGCCCTGCTAAGGAGGGTGGTGCTGATAGCAACTGGCACTCATTGTTTACCTACTATACACCAAGCATTATGTTAAATGTTGTTTATGTCCACTGTCTTCTTTAATTTTCTAAACAGCTGTAAGGTATCCCCATTTTGCAGATGAGGAAACAGGCTCAGGGAGGTAACTGACCCAAGGACACACAGCTAATAAGTATCAGAGACAGGATTTGAATCCTGGCACTTGTATCACAGGGTCATAGCTCTTAATCTGCATATAAAATATGTATAACATAAAATTTACCATTTTAACCATTTTTAGATGTACAGTTCAGTGGCTTTAAGTACACTTATGTTGTACAACCATCACCATCATCCATCTCTGGACCTTTTTCATTTCCCAGCTGCAATACTTTTGAAAACATAGATCATAATTTTGTTGAAGAGACTATGGCTATCACCTCTGCTTGCAAAACATTTTTTTTCTTTTAGATTTATAAACAGTTAAAGTTAGCCCAATGATTTTTTTCACTTCTACATTATCTATTTCTTTTTGCTCATCTTTGTGGACACTTCAGCATTTGTTCACATGTGAACTTCATCAACATCATAAAAGATAAAAGAATATGTCACATATCTCTTTAGCAAAACAAGTTCTTGTTGTAAAACAGTGTGTGATGAAGTCCTTCTTGTTGAATACCTAACTGGATGAGAACCTATTTCTTTTTTAGTCCTGGAAATACATTGTTTGCTCATTGATCCACTTAGGAAATAATTTTTGTGGTGAAATTCAGGTAACAAAATTAACCATTTTAAAGTGAATATTTAGGGGCGCCTGGGTGGCTCAGTTGGTTAAGCATCTGACTCTTGGTTTTGGCTCAGGTCCTGATCTCAGGGTCATGAAATCAAGCTGAGCGTCCAAGCTTTAAGTCGGCTTGAGATTGTCTCTCCCTCTCCTTTGCCCCTTTCCCCTCTCCCATGAGCGTGCATGTGCTTGCTCTCTGTCTCTTTCTCTCAAATAAATAAATCTTTAAAAAAATAAAGTGAACAGTTCATTGTCGTTTAGTAGATTCACGGTGTTGTGCAACTACCACCTCTACCTAGTTCCGAAACATTTCCATTATTCTGAAGTAAAATCCCTTACCCATTAAGCAGTTTCTTCATATTACTCCTTTCCTGTAACCTCTGGCAGTCACTAATCTGTATTCTTTTTCTAAGGATTCAGGTATTTGGGATACTTAATATAAATGGAATCATATGGTTTGTGACCTTTTGTGCATGTCTTCTTTTACATAGCATAATGTTTTGAGGTTCATCCACATTCTCACGTGTATCAGTACTACATTCCTTTTTATAGCTGAATGATATTCCATATGTTTCATTGTATGTATATTCATACTAGAATTTGTTTATCCTTTCACCTTTTGGTGGACATTTGGGCTTTTTCCATCTTTGGGCTGTTGTGAATAATGATGCTCTAAACATGCATGTACCTGTGTTTGTTTTGAATACCTATTTTTAATTCTTTCAGATATATACCTAGGAATGGAATTGCTGGGTCATATGGTAATTCTTTGTTGAATTGTTTGAAGAGCTCCCAAACTGTTTCCAGCACTCTTTGGTTCTTAAGTTCGAGAAAATTAATCTAGGGTATTGTCATCTGAAGATGTATAGTCTGAAATTTTGTTTCTATCAGTGGTTCTGAACTGGGAGTGATTTTGCCCTTCCAGGGGACATTTGGTAATGTCTGGGGACACCTTTGATTATCACGACTGGGTCGGTGCTACCAGCACCTAATGAGTAAAGGCCAGGGACTCTGCCAAACATCCTGTAATGCACAAGACAGTCCTCTACAGCAAAAAATTTGGTTCTGAATGTCAACAGTGCCGAAGAAACCTGGCTTATACCATCAATTTTATTGTTATCATTAGAGACTAGAGTGCTGTTACCAGTTTCTTTACATTCACCTTATGATTTTCTAATCATTAGGAAACTTTTTTTCTCTGTTCTTCTCTCTTTGACATTATGGATAGAATATGAAAAATTCTGAGTTTTCAACTGTGTTCAAATGAAAGCTAAAAAAAGACTACAAAGATTGTGTCTCTAGTCTTTTCTTTTTGAAAGATGGTGAAATGCTTTGGGCAGCACAATAAAAACTGGAGGATGAAGCAATAGCAATAATGTATTTCACTGTTGCATCATTTTGAATAATTCTTATTCTTCCATTTTCTTGTTACTTTGGCATAGTTGGGAATAATTGACTAAAAAATGATGAACTAATTCCTATGATAATGAAATAGCAAACTTTCAAATATAGGCAATAACATCACTAAGATTCCATAGTATCATGGATTTGTAATAATGTGCAATGGAACTATATGGTAATTACACAATAGAATGTTCTGTTTAAAAATATGAGTAAATTTTCTTTTTGTTCTTTGAAGCACCACTAGAAAGACTAAAAGTCATGAAATGTCAGTTCTTACATATAATTAGAATTGCTCAAAAAAGAAACTTAAAAACAGAATTTGTATATGGGGTAATCCTCTGCACTATAGCTCCCTAGAATGCTATTTCTTTCCATATTCTTCTGGAAATGGTGATTAAAATCAGTTTTGATTTCTGTTTTGCTTTCAGGAATTTTGTTTCATTTAAAGTTCGTGGCATATTTTCCTCCATAGTTCTCAAAGTAATTATATCTTATTTTATTTACTTTTTTTAGGAGAGAGAGAAAAAAAAATACTTGGGAAAAGTTATACCTGCCAGTATTAGCAAGAGCTTGAGTTAAGAAGAAATTTGTCAAACTCAACGAATTGAAGCTTAACACCTCAAGAGTTGTAGTTACTGACCAGGTGAGAATTAAGAATGTATATAACTTTCACCTGTTCTTTCAGGATATGATATAAAGATGTTATGAAAATGTATCATTTTTTAAACACATCAAGTTATAAATATGTGATATCTAGATTTAAGAGCTCACGAAAGTCATTTAGATAACTAGCACTTTTGTTCTTTGCTTTCTATAAACTTTTTTTAAAAAGTAGTGTGATATAGAACATTTATTGATATATTTCCATTTCCAAATGTTAGTATTTTTATTAAACTTCATTATGTTATCTAAAATGTTTTAGTTTGTTAAATATTTTTTCCTGTTTGCTGAGACATCTAATTTTACTAAAAACACAAATTTGACCTGCCAGATTTTCTTTCCCTCTGCTCCCCACATTGCTCATGTATATTCACAGCATCTGGAGTCTGTGTAAAGTCATAAGAAACAACACTGGGGGAATAGATAAACTGAACACAGCTGGGAATCGACTTTGGCCTGGAATATATATAATGTCTAAAGCATACTGTATGTTGTTAGCTTTTTTCTATTTGTTCTTTAAGTTTATAAGCTTGAAATGGTCCAAAAGAATTTTTTTCCTTTGGTAATACATTCTAGAGAAATGTCTTTAATATTTTAAACTAGTCAGGTTTTGCCCTTCTGTTTATAAGCCTTTAAAAAATGCCATGTATAGAATGTTATATTTGAGTTGAGGAATTTTAATGAGAATTTAATGGAGATTTTTGTTTGTAAATGCTGCTGTTAGAATGTGTTAAGGTTATAAAGCAGAAATTTGGTTTAGACTAACAAGTTTTTTTATGTGTCTTTTTTAAAAATGAATTTATCCATCGTGAATCTCACAGACTTGTTGATATAAAGTTGTTTATAAATTGTTGTTTATATAAAATTCAAAAACAGCAGAACTAATCTATGCCATTAGAGGTTGAAATTCTATCTTTGCACGGTGGTAGGGACCAGAAAGGGGGCATGAGAGGTGTTCTTAGGTGCCCATAATGTTGTTTCTTTATCTAGGTGGTAGTTATGGGAGTGTGTTCACTCTGTGGAAGATTCCATGGCTTTGTCATTTGTGCATTTTTCTGTATGTGGACTTGAATAAAGTTCGCAGTATTAGCATTGTTAAATACAGGAATAAATTGTTAGCAGGATCCAACAAATGTGATTAGGCTGTAGTGTAATGATCATGAGTACATTATTAATTTTTAGTTTGTATAGCAGTTCTAACTAGTGAAAGAATGTGAACAAATGACTAATTCATTAGCATTTAATTTAGAATATAAATTGTAGTAATACCATTTTTAAAGCATACATTAGAAAAGGAATTTTAAGGCACAGTAGCAATTTTCAAATAAAAGAAATGCTTCATTGTCACTCTTAAAGTATTTAGTTGTACTGATATTAACTTTTTAGAATTTGGTTACACTGTGTAGTTGAGGTCATATCGATACCCTTATTTCTTTCCTTTGATTTCTTCTGAGTTTTTCAAGCTTATAAGAATGTCTTCTATAGTTATTCTAGACATAAAAAACAAATTAGATTGATACTTTAAAGTTAATCTTCTTTGTATTGATTAACTCTAAAATTATCATTGAGAAGAACAGCTGAATTTCCTTAGTGAGAAAGGTATATATCTCCACAACAACTGAAATAAGGCAAAATATCTGTGTAGGTTCTAGAACACTATCTTAATGCATTTAATGTTTACTTTATAATATTTCTTTTAGTATAATGAGTTCATTTTAAAAAAGCCTTTGATGCTAATTCAGAGATCCATAATCTGCTCACAATGTCTTTCACATGTAGTTTTGATGATAACTGACAAGCTGTAAGTTAATTAGCACAGAACTTACTAATGAGGATGTTAAAATTTAATTTAAAAGTGAGGATTTTTATTTGTACACTCTGAACAAATTGAAGGAAATTCAATCATACATATGATAAGCATTTCAGGCACTTTTTCCTCATTCAGGTACTTTATTAGATAACAATGAGAAAATATAATTAACTTAATGATAGCAAAGTTTTGAAAGTATGCTAAGACTGCTTGTCTTTAAAACCGGGGATAACCCAAAACCAAAGCAGTAAAGTAAGGTCTGTTAATTAGCATGGAAGACAGCTTCTTGAATTAATATGTGGTGTTAATTAACAGGAAGTCTGATGTTGTGTTGTAATTACCACCAATATTTTTGACATACTGAGTGACTGAAGGTGAATTATATAGATAGCAATTGAGTAAACACTTTTGTGCTTAGGAACATTTTCCTTTGTTTCTGTTTTCTAGAAATATGGACAGACTTCTTAGACTTGGAGGAGGTATGCCTGGACTGGGCCAGGTTAGTATATAGACTTTCAGTATTTCTTTGTTTGTAAACTACACATCTTTCTCTAGTTATCCAAAGAGAAAGAAATCACTCCCAAGAAAATCATCTCACAGATAACCTTACGGTAAGAAGCTTACCTTATTGCTAGTTGTTGTATTGCAACACTAAATAACATGTGGGGAACATTTTCTATTATCTTAATTTAATTTTCTCCTAGGAATAAGAATTTTCTCTATTTTTTTTATTTAAAATTTGGGGATATGTAAGATTCTCAAACTTGCCTTTAAAAAAAAAAGGAGTCAAAATATCTTATTTCTGGGTTTACAACATAGACTTTAGAAGTAACACATGAAAAAGTAAGCATGGCATATTCTTGGCAAGATCCAGAAAACTGACCCATAGAATGTTTGTATGTACAGTTTTAATACTGGTAAATTCCTTCTGTTAGTTATGATACATGGCTGAAATAATATGTAATTCCTCTTTTCTCTAAATTTGGTATGTATGGTTTCTTTTACATTCTTATTAAAATTAAATTTGTTTTCAGTCTTAATATTATCATCTGTCTTGTTTCTTGCTATTGGGCAAATGGCCTCTAGATAGATTTTTTGATCTCAGAATATTCTGCTTTAGGTGAAGCAGAAATTTTTGCCTTTTTTGAGTTCTACACTGATTATCTTTCCAGTCCTCCATTCACAAAAGTGATAACTATATGTTGTTCCTTTCCTGAGACTTTTATGTAACATAATGTTTTATGACTAAATTTTGGGAATATTTTTATAACCTACTTTTCTAACCCTTTTAGCTACCAGCTTTCCCTCATTTTCATATCACGGTCAATCAGTTTGTTTTCCTTCATTTAAAGTGGTCTATATTTTGGGAAAGAAACAGTTTTTTTGGGGATTTCATGGTATTTTAGGTATGGAGGCACTTTCATAAGAATTCCTTAAGTAGGTCTGTCTCATGGCTTCTACTAATAAACCTTTTCCTTTTAGAAAGTTGGAATCATTTCGTGATTCTGTGTTGCATCCTTTATAGACTTCAATTATTTTTCCTTTTTTTTTTAGTTATTTTTTACTTTTGTTAGTGTTGACTATTTATTTCTCCTGTTCTTTACTATCAGCCTACTTCTTTATGATTCTTCATTTTTGTAAGATCTCTGTAATCCATTCTCTTAAGAGGCCTAAGCCTTGGGGCGCCTGGGTGGCTCAGTTGGTTAAGTGTCCAACTTTTAATTTTGGGTGAGGTCATGATCTCAGGGTCTTGAGATTGAGCTGTGCATCGGGCTCTGAGTGGAGTGTGGCGTCTGCTTGAGATTCTCTCTGCCTCTGCCCCACCCCACATGTGCACATGCTCTCTCATTCTCCCTATAAATAAAGTCTTAAAAAAAAAAAAAAGAGGCCTAAGCCTCTCGAAACTTGACCCTTCCAAAGCTGTTTCCATGCTTTCGTAAGCATTCTAGATAGCTTCTAGAATTCCCTCATTTATTCTGAAATTAGCAATAACAATGTTAAAGCATATCAAAATGTCAGAAGTGAGCTGAGGTAATAACACAGGTACTGCAAATTTACCTGCAAAATATAGGCAATGATATTGCCTTAGTAGAATTCTTTTATTTTATTTTATTTTTTTTAAGATTTTATTTATTTATTTGGCCAAGAGAGATATAGCGAGAGAGGGAACACAAGCAGGGGGAGTGGGAGAGGGAGAAACAGGCTTCCTGCTGAGCAGGGAGCCCAATGCGGGGCTTGATCCCAGGACCCTGGGATCATGACCTGAGCCGAAGGCGGATGCTTAACGACTGAGCCACCCAGGCGCACCTGCCTTAGTAGAATTCTTAAAGGAAGTTGCAGCAAATTTAAATGCCAAAATACCTTTTCTTAAGCATTAGATGCAATAAATTTATATATCCATGCTAGAAATTCATGCTGGGAAATTGCTGGATGTGAAATATAGCCTTACTGACCACAAATTGAGCTACATCATATCTCAGTGACCACTGCAAACCTTTGTAGGAAGTGAAAAACTTAAGTTTGGTTCAATAACCTCTCCTTGGCTCCTGATAATTTAATCACCTCATGTGTCCTCTATCCTTATTTGAACTTAAAAATATGTTATTTAGAATCTATTATTTCAAGTGTGTGTTTCATCTTCCCAATTAGATGACAAAGTCTCAATGGGATAATTTGTGGGGTGCTTATTTCTGTGATATTTCCTTTATCAAATACTAGTGTTCAATGATTAATTTTTTTTTAATTTTATTTTACTCTTGGGGCGCCTGGGTGGCGCTCAGTTTATTAAGCATCCAACTCTTGGTTTTGGCTCAGGTCATGATCTCAGGGTCATGGGATCAAGCCCTGTGTCGGGCTCTGCCCTCAGGGCAGAGTCTGCTTGACCCTCTCCCTCTGCTCCTCCCCCAACTCATGCTCGTGCTCTCTCTCTTGAAAAATAAATAAAAATCTTAAACTTTTTTTATTTTACTTTTGTTCTAGATTTAAGATGTAATTTTGCAACAGATATTAAGTATATTTTTTAATATACAGGAATAAAATGTGTATTATTTATTTTTTTAATAAAGTAAAAAATATTTGGGTTAAAAGCTACTCTTTCCATTCAGTAATGCATAGCAGCCAGTAAAAGTGGAAAAGGAGACATAAGCAGTTTTATCCCTCCAAAAATAAATGGGTAATGTTACTATCTTACCATTTAATGGAAAAGTCAGAATTTCCTTATAGATAGGGGCAGGATACTTGCTGGTAAGTTTGCACATGGTCCTTTGAAAACATGAGAATACAAACAGAACAGGGTTCTTCATTCTAACAACTCTGAACTTTCTCTGAAACGAAGTGATTTTTCTCTTCTCCGTGGCTAATCTTTCCACTTATTCTCTGATCCCATCTTCTCTTGAAACCTTGCTCATATGCACTGACCCCTTTCTCTGCGTACAAAAATGTTTGTCTGTATCCAAAAAACAACAAAACTTCACTGTACCCTGCCCCTAAGCCTTTCTTTTATTTATTTCTAGAATTCCTGAAATAATAGCTTATACTTACAGATTATACTTCCTTACCTTCGACTCTTCTGAGGTTATATACTGGCTTCCTCTTCCATTACTTTTCTGGAATTGCTCAAATTACCAAATCTATTGGCCTGCCTTTGGTTCCCTTTTCACTGGACTTTAATATATTTTTTAAAGATTTTATTTATTTGTCAGAGATAGAGAGCAAGCACAAGCAGGGGAAGCAGCAGGCAGAGGGAGAAGCAGGCTCCCCTCTGATCAAGGAGCCTGATGTGGGACTCAATCCCAGGACCCTAGGATCGTGACCTGAGCCAAAGGCAGATGCTTAACTGACTGAGCCACCCAGGCATCCCCGGTATAAACGTATTAGTAGTTTGAAGTAGAAACAAACTTTTTTTTTTTTAAAGATTTATTTATTCGAGAGAGAGAGAGCACACACACACAGGGAGAAGGAGAAACAGACTCTCCACTGAGCAGGGAGCCCAATGTGGGGCTCAGTCCCAGGACCCTGGGATCATGACCTGAGCTGAAGGCAGAGGCTTAACTGACTGAGTCACCCAGGCGCCCCACAAACAGATGTTTTATTAGAAGTATTAAAATTTGTTAACTAGTAGCTTTAAATTTCAAATGTATTTTTTTATTTGCTAAAGTGTTTATGAACTTGAAATTACTATAAGACATGAGATGATTTATTAAAAGCATTTACTGCTGTAATTTGGCTACTTGATTATAACTATCCCAACTTACGTCTTGGCAACTAAACTTTCCAAAATCTGTGAAGATAAAACCCAAGAGATAGGCATAGCCAAAGCACCGCCATAGTCTCCAGTCTCTAAACGTTTTAGTTTAAGTCTTTGGGTCCATTTTAGCTTTAGAAACAGCCAAGGTAAAAGCTTAAAAGTAAATGATTTCTCATGGCGCCTGGGTGGCTCAATCTGTTAAGTGTACGACTCGGTTTCGGCTCAGGTTGTGATCTCATGGGTGGAGATCTCATGGGTCAAGAGATGGAGCCCTGTTTCCAGCTCCATGCTTAGTAAGGAGTCTGCTTGAGGATTCTCTCCCTCTGCTCCTCCCTGTGCACGTGCTCTTTTCTCCAGAATAAATAAATCACAGTTGTTGATTAGAATGTAGAGAAATTGAAACCCTGTACATTGCTGGTAGGAATGTAAAATTATGTAACCTCTGTGGAAAACAGTATGGTGGTTCCTCAAAAAATTAGGGATAAAAGTACCGTACAATGCAGTAATTCTATTTCTGTCATTGTATATTCCCCCAGAATTGAAAGTTGGGTCTCAAATAGATATTTGTACACTAGTGTTCATAGCAGCATTATTCACAGTAGCCAAAAGGTGGAAGCAACTTGTGTAATAGCGATAGATGAGTGGATAAACAAAATGTGATATGTACATGCTATGGAGTATTATTCAACCTTAAAAAGGAAGGAAAAACCTGACATCTGATATAACATGGATGAACCTTGAAGACATGATGATAAGTGAAATGAGCCAGTCACAAAAGGACAAATATTGAATGATTCCAATTATATGAAGTACTAAAGTAGTCAGATTCATATTGACACAAAGTAGAATGGTTGTTGCCAGAGGTTGGGGGAAGTAGTGAAGTGGGTTAGTGTTTAATGGTTACAGGGTTTCAATTTAGGAAGACAAAAAAATTCTGGAAATGGATAGTCGTATTTGTTGCACAACAAATGTGAATGTGTGAATGCACTTAATGCCACAAAACTGTATACTTAAAAATGGTTAAATGATAAGTTTTATGTTGTTTATATTTTACCACAATAAAAATTTCAATTACCATATTTTTAAAATGAGATTAGTACCTACCTTAGATGTTTCTTAAAAGGATTAAATATGTCAGACACACAGAAGATAGCCCAAAAAAAAAATTCCTTAAAAGATAATTTGTATGACCTCAAAATAGGGGAAAGCAAAACTCAAGATTGCTAATTTGACTGCTTCAATGCATTACTCTT